ATGGTCACTCGTTGGTCTGTTAGGGGTGTAGTGTCCACATTTCATGTCAATTCATAAAGTGGTTTTTGAGTTATGTTAATCCCACAAACTAACATTACATTTTTATTTATATAGATATGCACACAAGAACCTAAACATCACAAAAGGCGCCAGATCCCATATCTTCTTGTCCTCTAAGCATGATCAGCCCTGGTTAGGATTTGAAACAAGAAGACATAGTTTTAGTAATATTTATTGCTATTGTTTTTACGGTTTTTAAATGTATTTAAATGTATTGTATTTTTTTTGTTTTTAACCGATGTATGTATTTTTATATGGCATCTAATTGTGCCGATTCATACACTGCCCTGAGTCACCTTCGGGCTGATATGGGATAGATAAAAGTGACGTAATTAAATAGATAGCAAAGTTGACCGCCACATTCATGGGTTAGATGTCAGTGGTTTAACATAGTGAGCCCAGCATCTTGAGGCCTGAGGATTACCTAGGAAGGAATCCCACTGGAGCAGTGCAGCACATTCAAATACCTGGGAGTCACTCTGGATCATGCTCTGACTTACAAGAAGCACTGCTTGACTATCAAGCAAAAAGTGGGTGCCAGAAATAATATCATACGAAAGCTGACTGACACAACCTGGGGATCACAACCAGACATAGTGAAGACATCTGCCCTTGCGCTTGGCTACTCTGCTGCTGAATACGCACACCCACTGTGGATTAAAACAGTGGATGTGGCTCATAATGAGACATTATCACAGGATGTCTACACCCAATGCCACTGGAAAAATTATACTATTTAGCCAATATTGCTACACCTGACATCTGTCGGAAAGTAGCATCCTGTAATGAAAGGACCAAGGCATTGATATCTCCATCCCATCCTCTCTTTGGAAATCAGCCAGCACACCAATGCCTTATATCAAGAAACAGCTTTCTAAGATCTACAGAATACCCACAGGAACACCTCAGCAAGCAAGAGTCCAAAAGTGGCAGGCTAAAACCTAGAACCTCAATCCTTGGCTGAGACCAGATGTGAAACTTCCTCCTGGGTACACAGAAAATTGGGTGACTTGGAAGGCACTGAACTGACTGTGATATGTCACCATGAGATGCAGAGCCAATCTTAGGAAATGGGGCTACAAAGTGGAGTCCACGACATGCAAGTGTGGAGAAGAGCAAACCACAAACCACCTTTCTGGAGGATCGTTCCCAGTTGGTGAAGCTGGGGGACTCCTGCTCGGACCCCTAGCCATTGACCTGTGGGGTCCCGCAAGGTTCTATTCTGTACCCCATGCTATTTAACATCTACATGAAACCGCTGAGAGAGGTCATCCGGAGTTTTGGAGTGCGGTGCCATCTCTACGCAGATGACCCCCAACTCCACTACTCTTTTCCACCAGATTCCAAGGAAGCCCCGAGGATACTGGACCAGTGCCTGGCTGCTGTGTCGACCTGGATGAGGAAGAACATGCTGAGGATCAATCCTGACAAGACAAAGGTCCTCCAGGTCAGTTGCTCGGCTGATGGGTATTGGGTGGCAACCTGTGCTGGACGGGGTTGCACTCCCCCTGAAATCACAAGTCCGCAGTTTGGGGGTCCTCCTGGATTCAGCACTGCGTAGGTGTCAGCGGTGTCCGGGAGGGCCTTCGCGCAATTAAAACTTGTGCGCCAACTGCAACCTTACCTTGTGAAGTCTGACTTGACCATGGTGGTCCATGCCTTAGTTACCTCTAGACTGGATTACTGTAATGCTTTCTACGTGGGGCTACCCTTGAAGATGGCCCAGAAATTACAACTTGTCCAATGTTTGGCAGCCAGACTAATAACTCGGGCAACATACAGGGAGCGGTCAACCCCCCTGTTTAAGGAGTTCCACTGGCTACCGTTTATTTTCCGGTCCCAATTCAAGGTGCAGGTTATCACCTACAAAGCCCTCAATGGTTTGGGACCCGCCTACCTTTGTGACCGTATCTCCCTCCATGAACCATCTCAGGTCCTCCGATCTTCTGGGGAGGCCCTTCTTTCACCCCTGCCAGTCTCACAAGCTTGCCTTGTAAGCACAAGGGAGAGAGCTTTTTCCTGGGTGGCTTCCTGACTCTGGAATTCACTACCTGGAGAAATTAGGAAAGCCCCTACCCTAGACACTTTTTAAAAGAACCTCAAAACCTGGGTCTTCCGTTGCGCCTTTGGTGAATAGGTACTCAYTCCCACATTATCCCTCATGTGCAATGTTCTATCACTGGAGTATACATTCCCCCTTGTGGGAAAGCTTGTTTCCACAACTCCCACCATAATGAGCCCTCCTCCACAAACAATCTGTTTCTCTTTTATCTCACRGAGCTTTTTTAACCAGTTTTAATTCGTTCTTCTTTTAACCATTACATGTGGCCCGCCCATTGTCACTGCGTTTGATTTTATTGTAATTTTATATTGTTGTATATTCATATGTTTTTTGTAATTATGATGTTGTTTATTGTTTATTGTTTGCGTTTTCGGTTTGCGTTTGGTCGTTCTTTATTGTAATTGTTGTTTGGGCTTGGCCCCATGTAAGCTGCTCTCAYTCCCCATCAGGGAAATGGTGGCGGGGTACAAATACAGTTTATTATTATTATTATTATTATTATTATTATTATTATTATTACTACTACTACTACTACTACAATGCAGCCTGAGCCCTGCTACATACATAATGGAGGACCTTAGGGCAACCCCAGAGGCACTCCAAGTGGCCGGCTTCTGGTCAAAGAACATCTAGTATAATGCCAAGTTTTTAACTTTATTTGTGTTTTAAACACATTATAACTGTATTCTTCATTCGCTTCTGACACGATAAATAAATAAATCAGTGGTTTTGATTATTATCTGGAACTTCTGATCTTTTAAAAAGGTTGTTTCCATCTACTGCGGTTGTGGTAATTTCATCTTTTTTTTCTCATTTTTTAGGGGCATGTAGGCAAGGAGATAACTTTGTCTTGGTAACAATCAGCCGTTAAATATCACACACAGGATGCACCTGGAGGTGGAAAGAAGATTCTTATGCCTTTTGAGAAGAAAAAAGAAGAAGCAGAATTTTATGTTGTATATTTGTGCTGGAGGCAGTCACGGGGGTGTGAAAAGTACTGCTCCTCTGTTCCCCAAATGTCTTATTTTATAGTTTGTATTATCAATAGTTTGTGTTAACATATTCCAACAAATTTGCAATTCAACCTAGGACCAATGTATACATGGCAATCGGTGGGGAAACATGGCTCAAAACTGGTCTAATTTGGTCATTCAAACCAATGAATTCCCCAGTTCCCCTAATTTAGCAATGGAAAATCTATGCATAGAAAAATATGTTTATTAGGGGAAAGTCTACACAAGAATCCAGATGGTCATTAAAATAATGTTTCGGGGTTTCTTTTTAGATTAGATGTAGATCTGAAAAATCGCTGGGTAGATTTTTGAACTGTGGTGTTGGGGGAAAATTCTGAGAGTGCCTTGGACCGCAAGAAGATCCAACCAGTCCATGGATAACAGTACTCCTCTACTTTCTTTCTTCAAAACTATTATTTTATTCATCTAAACCAGTGTTTATCAACCTGGTGGTTGGGGCCCCAGGGGAGGGTCATATGGGGATTTCAAAGGGGTCACCAAAGACCACCAGAAAATGTATTTCTAATAGTCTTAGGAACTCCTTTGGCAGAGAAGGCTGAAGATCTCTCTGCCTTTCCTTCTCTTCCTTTTTGGAAACAGATGGTGAAGCCTCCCACCAAAAGCTCTCCTCCGCTGTGATTGATCAACCTCTCAGCTGGCCTCTCAGACAAGGGGAGGGCTGTTTCTGACACTCCAAGTGGGGAGGGGAGAGCAGGCGTACTCGGCCCATAGCAGTGTTTTGTGCATGTGTGAGCGAGGGAGAGCGGGTGAGGCTGGAGGGAGGCTCACACCAGCAAGTCATTTCAAGGCATGGGGGTTCTATGTGGGAAGTTTGGCCCTATTCTATCGTTAGCGGGGTTCAGAATGCTCTTTGATTGTAGATGAACTATAAATCCCAACAACTAAAACTACCAAATGTTAAGGTCTATTTTCCCAAAACTCCCATTGTTCACATTTGGGCATATTGAGTGTTCCTACCAAGTTTGGTTCAGATCCATCATTGTTTGAGTCCACAATGCTCTCTTGATGTAGGTAAACTACAAGGTCAAGGTCAATGCCCACCAAACTCAAGGTCAATGCCCACCAAACTCAAGGTCAATGCCCACCAAACCCTTCCAGTATTTTCTGTTGGCCATGAGAGTTCTGTGTGCCAAGTTTGGGTCAATTCCATCATTGTTGGAGTTCAGAATTCTCTTTGGTTGTAGGTTAACTATAAACTCCAGCAACTACAACTCCCAAATGACAAATCAATCCCTCCCAATCCCACCAGTCTTCAAATTTGGGAATACCGGATATTTGTACCAAATTTGGTCCAGTGAATGAAAACACATCCTGCATATCAGATATTTACATTACAATTCATAACAGTAGCAAAATTACAGTTATGATGTAACAATGAAAATATTCTCCCCTACGTACCATCAAGACTACTAAGATCATCTTGAGAGGCCCTGCTCTCAGTCCCACCGGCCTCACAAGCGCGCCTGGTGGGGACGAGGGACAGGGCCTTCTCGGTGGTGGCCCCGTGACTCTGGAACTCTCTCCCACCGGAGGTCAGAACCGCCCCATCTATCCTGACATTCAGGAAACGGGTAAAGACGTGGCTGTGGAGACAGGCCTCTGATGAATGAGACAGCACCCTGTTTTTAATATGACGACTGACCACCGTAGTTCTTTAAATATAGTGGTTATTTTAAATGTGTTATTGTAATTATGAACTATGATATTTTACTGATTGTATGTTTTTATGGTTGTAAACCGGGCTGAGTCCCTCTAAGAGGTGAGAAGCTCAGTATAGAAAATTCTGAAATAAATAAATAATGTTAAGGTTGGGGGTCATCACAACATGAGGAACTGTATTAAGGGGTCGTGGCATTAGGAAGGTTGAGAAACACTGATCTAAACTCTTTTATTGGTCAAAAACATGTTTATGGAGACACCAACATATGAGGTAATGGACGGATTGCTGAAAATTCAGACAGTCAGTTGGAAAAAACCAAAATGGTATTGTTAGTCCTGACTAGAACAGCTCTAGCAACTGGATCTCTGGGTTGTGTGAACCCTGCTTTAATAACAATAGCCTGCAAAACTAATACGGTAGAAGACAGTAGGAAAAAAGGAGACCACCCAACAAGCAGATGGATTCAGTGAAGGAAGCCACAGCAAGACTTGATAGAGCAGGGTTCCTGGAGAGCCACCATTAGTTGATGGCAATTTGATGGAAAGCATAAAAAATAACCACAACTTTTACAGAACGCATAACACTTTTACATCTCCATAACACTCCAGTGGGTGGGATGGATGCACTCAGAAGATCTGCATTCAGCAAAGAGGAACTCCAGTTGCTAGCATCTTCAAGTAGGGCTCCTAAATCTTCCAGCGATTTTCTTTTGGCCTGTTGAAGAAACTTCTTCTGAGTACACCCCACAATAGTTCTCACATTGAGACCCTGACATTGATGGGGAGATATTGTAAAAAATAGATATTGATTTATGTATAAATTGTATGTACTTTACAAGCATTGAAATGTATAGAAAAATCAAGTTCTCTCTGTATTAGAATGAATGTTGACAGGACAAGCAAGCTACGTCCAGGCATAGCAAGAGGGAAGAGAACATTCCAGGAAGGGGTCATGTTATCTATACAGAGACTGGTACCGAGCCCAGGCTATAGCTAAGTAAGGAGCCTATCTCTCTCTCCTAACAAGTCAAAGTAGGTCCCTTGATTGATGAATGTAAGCTGTAAGCTGTATGCTGCTCTTTAGAAAGAAATACAGAGACATGCCTTTTGTATGTTGGAAGATAGAATTAGATATTCCTGTGATGCTAAAGTGATGCAGAGAATGATGTCAATGTATGTAAAAGCATATTTCTTTGTTTGCCTGCATTTGCAGGGTATAAAAGGGCAGTCAATGTTTTATCGGGGCTCTGGTTTGCTTTTGGACACAGCTCCACTCCAGAGTCCCAGCTGGAAATAAACCTGTGCTTTTCCAGACCTCAGGAACTCTCTTTCTTTCCTAAAACCTTCTCCCTGCCATTTCAACATTTCCAAGTAAGTCTAACAAAAACTCCCATCTGAAAGTCAGGAGAAGTGTTGCCAACCCGGGCAGACAATGGTCTTCATGGATGAAAGGCCAGACATGCTAGAATCCTTTTCTATGGTCCTCTGTCCAATTGCCAATCCAGCTGGAATTATTCTTTAACAGAGGAAGCGCTTTCTTTGCTCATCAGCCGCCTCCGGATGGCCAAGCTGCTGTGCCTCAGTATCTGGCCCTGGAATTCCGATGTCACAAAGAAGTAGAGGATGGGATCCAAGCAACAGTTCAGGCTTGCAAGGCTTAAACAAAAAGGGTGAAGGTACAGGATGGGTTGGCTCAAGGCACAGTCTTGGATTACATCTTCTTTGACCATCATAAAGAAGAAAAAGACAATGTGATAAGGTGTGAAACACACCAAGAACACAGTGACACACATAGAAACCATCCGTAATGCTTTCCGCTTTTCTATGGTGCTTTCCAAAAGGATGTGGCGTTCTTGGAGTGACGCTTTGGTCTTCCAGGTACAATAAACAATGATACCAAGCGGGACGATGAACCCAACAATCTCAGCCACCATGACCACCACAATGGAGTGGGCCTTGCCCCCAATTGGCTTGATCCTGAGATCTGTGAAGCAACTCTCTGGTTTCTCAAAACTTCTTAAAAGTGGGAATGGCAGGCAAGCAGCTCCAATCACAACCCATAGCACAACACATATGGCCACATCATGCCTTCGCTTCCAGTTTTTCGCCTTGAATGGGTAGAGCAGGAAGAGGTATCTTTGCACACTGATGCAGGTGAGGAAGCCTATGCTGGCGTACATGTTGAGATACTTCAGGTAGAAACAGACCTGGCAAAGGAACCTCCCAAAAGGCCACTTGTAATTGACATAATAATATATCCGGAGAGGTAAGGAGAGAACATGAATGAAGTCGGCCATGGCCAAGTTCACCATGAAGATGACAGTTTTGTTTTGCTTGCTGATGAAGCGGCATAAAATCCACAGGGCCATGCTGTTTGTCAGGAGTCCTGGGATGAATATGATCGTATATGTGGCTGCATAAAGGGAATGCAGGAATTTGTCACTTGGTTCACTGCAATTATAGTGTTCTGCCCCTGTGCTTGGCAACAGTGGCACACCCGCACTCCTGTTAAGAGCAAGGTGAGCTGGAAGCATGACGTGTCTGGACCCCCTGAAAAGAAGAAGAAAAGAGGCAGAAGGGTTATAATTTTCACTATTGATGAATATATCACCATCATCTTGGGGAAGACATTCTGTGTGAATTTGACATAATAATAATAATAATAATAATAATAATAATAACAATAACAACAACAACCAACCAACCAACATTGAGAGAAGTCAATAGTAGTAAACTGCTTAAAATGCAAAAGACAAAGAGGGAATACCATAAAAACACAATCCAGAGCAGAAGAGAAAAGTGGCAAAAGAAGGCTCTCAATGGACAGTCTCCTGAAAAAGGAGACAAAGGAGGGCCTGATTCTGGCAGCCCAAGAACAAGCCATTTGAATCAAGGCCATCCAAGCCAGAATTGAAAAGTCGACAACAGATCCCAAATGTAGGCTCTGCAAGGAAGCAGATGAAACAATAGATCCCATCCTCAGCTGCTGCAAGAAGATCGCGCAGACAGACTACAAGCAGAGGCACAACACCGTTGCTCACATGATTCATCAGAACTTCTGCCACAAAGACCATCTGCCTGCGACAAAAAACTGGTGGGATCACAAGCTGGAAAGAGTTACAGAGAATGAACACACCAAACTCCTCTGGGACTTCCAGATTCAGACAGACAGAGTTTTGGAGCACAATACTCCTGACCTCACAATCATGTTAAAAACCAAAGTATGGATTGTCGATGTCGCAATCCCAGGTGACAGCAGGATTGCAGAGAAACAACTGGAAAAGCTGACATGATATGAGGATTTGAAGACTGAATTGGAAAGACTCTGGCACAAACCAGTAAAGGTGGTCCCAGTGGTGATCGGCACACTGGGTGTAGTGCCTAAAGACCTTGACCTGCACTTAAACACAATTGGCTCTGACAAAATTACCAGCTGCAGAAGGCCACCTTACTGGGATCTGCACGCATCATTTGCCGATACATCACACAGTCCTAGACACTTGGGAAGTGTCCGACGTGTGATCCAGTTCAACAGCCGGCAGAGTATCTGCTGTGGACTCATCTTGTTGTGTTTCAAATAATAATAATAATAATAATAATAATAATAATAATAATAATAATAATAACAATAACAATAATATACTTTATTTATATTCCACTCTATTTCCCCAGACTCAGAGCGGGGGACTCAGAGCGGATTACAGAATACATATATGGCAAACTGTTGTACAATTAACAACAAAGACAGATAGTACATAGACCAGCGTTTCTCAATCTGGGGGTGGGACCCCTGGAAGGGGTCATGAGGGTGTCTCAGAGAGGTCGCCAAAGACCATCAGAAAATACTGTATTTTTTGTTGGTCATGGGAGCTCTGTGAGGAAAGTTTGGCCCAATTCTAACATTGGTGGGGTTCAGAATGATCTTTGATTATAGGTGAACTACAAATCCCAGCAACTACAACTCCCAAATTACAAGATCTATTTTCTCCCAAACTCCACCAGTGTTCACATTTGGGCATATTGAGTATTCCTGCCAAGTTTGGTCCAGGTCAATCATAGTTTGAGCCCACAGTGCTCTCTGGATGTAGGTGAACTACAATTCCAAAACTCAAGGTCAATGCTCAGTAAACCCTTCCAGTATTTTCTCAAAACATTGAGAACCAACACAGTCAAACAATCTGGATGAGATATCCTTTACTGCAAGTCCAAGTTTCCTTAGGATGCAGCCATTGTAGTGAAAGTAGAACTGTATTGCTGTTATTGTGATGTGCAAAAGAGCCCTTAGAGTCAAAGCTCTCGGTTCTCTTTCTGGCAAACTTGCCTAACCTTTTGGGTTTGGTAGCTTTGAGCGGCAGCACAAAATGTTCCCTGTAGCTGTTTAGAAGTTTATTCTCTCTTTCCTAAGGCTTGGCATGGACTGTAATATCTCCACCCATTCCAAAACAGATCTGTAGTACTTTAAAGGGTTTCCGGTGCCAAAAAGGCAGATCCCTTCTTGTTTCAAGTTTGCAAGCTATTGCTGAGTTTAGCTGAATCAGCAATGGGAGGAGATGGCAAGTGAACATTTCCTTTGAGGTGGATGGTAGCCATTTGGCTGGGCAAATCTACCCAGTGTGTTCACATGGGGCTATTTTCAGCTATCGCCTCATCATACAGCTTCCATAATATAAAACTTAACACATATGGACCTCCAAAAAGGCTTGCATGCTGTTTGTGTCACATATGCATCCATTTGACCATAATCTCCAACATTTCATAATTTGAAATTGGGACACGTGTGTCTAAGCACAGTCATGGTGGCAAAGATTATCAATAAGGAAGAACCACCCAAGTTAAGAGAGGGTGCAGCAGTTTGCTGGGCAACACCAGAGAAACACATAGAGAATGAGAAAAAGACCTAAAGTTCCTGCATTAAATGTAGAAGTAAATGCAGCACTTTGGGAATAAAGCTGCAGTGAACTCTTGTAAATAAAGGTAAAGGTTTCCCCTGACATTAAGTCCAGCCATGTCCAACTCTGGGTGGTGGTGCTCATCTCCATTTCTAAGCCGAAGAGCCGGTGCTGTCTAGACACCTCAAGGTCATGTGGCCAGCATGACTGCATGGAGCACTGTTACCTTCTCCACGGAATGGTACCTATTGATCTACTCACATTTGCATGTTTTCAAACTGCTAGGGTGGCAGAAGCTGGATCTAACAGCAGGAGCTCACCCCACTCCCCAGATTCAAACCACCAATCCTTTTGATTGGGGACGAGGGACAGGGCCTTCTCGGTGGTGGCCCCACGACTCTGGAACTCTCTCTCTCTGGAGGCCAGAACCGCCCCATCCATCCTAACATTTAGGAAACGGGTGAAGACGTGGCTGTGGAGTCAGGCCTTCGATGAATGAGACAACACCATAGGACCCTGGATGGAAGTTGATGTAGATCCATCTTAATAGGACGACTGACCACTGTAGTTTTATATATAGTGTTTTTAAAGTTGTTTTGTAATTGTGATATATGATATTTTAATGAGTGTATATGTTTTTATGGCTGGAAACCGGGCTGAGTCCCTCAATGAGGTGAGAAGCTCGGTATCTAAAACTCTGAAATAAATAATAAATAAATAAATAATATATGTTGCAGTTGTCCCTCCAGTTTAATTTGCTGTGACACCAAGAGCACAATATTTATTTTAAAACATTTATATTCCGCCCTTCTCACCTCTCAGGGGACTCAGGGCAGAGCACAACATATATATGACAAACATTCAATGCTGGGACATAAAACCATAAATATATACAAACATTAAAATCACTTATATCAACGTTAAAAGTTGCTTAAAAGCCATCTCAGGATACCATTTTGCCTCATTGCACTGGCCCAAAGGCTTGGTCCCACAGCCAGGTCTTCACCATCCTTCTTATGAAACAAGGGCAAAGAGAGTTTCATCTATGCTGACAATTGTGCTATCCCTGCTCAAGCAGGGAGCTTTGAAATGGATGAGCAGAAGCTCTCTGAAGCTTTAGAAGCTGTTACTGACTATTACAGGGGAGACCATCAGATTCTTAATCCATCTAAAATGCAGGTGTGTGCTTTTCACCTCAAGAACAGACAAGCATCTCGATCTCTGAGGATTACCTGGGAAGGAATCCCACTGGAGCATTGCAGCACACTAAAATACCTGGGAGTCACTCTGGACTTATAAGAAGCACTGCTTGGTTACCAAGCAAAAAGTGGGCGCTAGAAATAATATAATAATATTTTTTTGGTTTTATTATGTTTTTGTGTTATATTGTTGTGTATTGTACTGATGGGCGTGGCCTCATGTAAGCCGCACTGAGTCCCCCTGGGGGAGATGGAGCGGGGTATAAATAAAGTTTTATTATTATTATATCATATGAAAGCTGACCGGCACAAAGTCAGGATCATAACCAGACATAGTGAAGACATCTGCCCTTGTGCTTTGCTACTTCACTGCTGAATACGCATGCCCAGTGTGGAACGCATCTCACCACGACGTGGTGAGATGCGGCTCTTAATGAGACATGCCGCATTATCACAGGATGTCTACGCCCAACACCACTGGAGAAATTATACTGTTTAGCTGGTGTTGCAACACCTGTTTACCCGAAACTACTTGGCAATTCTTTTAACTGTTCCTCATTTTTAAAAACTCCCCATATTTTGACACTTTTTGGATGGTATTTTAAATTACACTAAACATCTATTAAGAGGCAGCAAGTTGCCATGGTTTGGATGTTGAATTAGAACTCCAGGAGGATGAGTTTCTGCTGAGACTCAAAGAGGTGAACATGTTCACAGAAGTCTTTCGAATCAGCTCATTTCCATTGCAACAAATGAATTGCTAAAATACTCTGAGTCTTGCCAACTTTTGTCTACATTCACAAAGGACAGCTCATTGCTTTCCATGAGGATCAAGTCCACCGTCAGACAGTTTGAACTACAGTAGAGTCTTGCTTATCCAACCTTTGCTTATCCAATGTTCTGTATTATCCAATGCAGTCTGCCTCCCACCCGGATCTACAGGTGAGGGAAGTGGAGTGTATATTTACCTGTGGAATAATGTCCAGGGTGGGAGAAAGAAAGAACTCTTGTCTGTTTTGGTGCTGAATTAGTAAATACAGTAATTGCTACATAACGTTACCATGTATTGAACTGCTTTTTTCTGTCGATTTGCTGTAACACATGATGTTTTAGTGCTTAATTTGTAAAATAATATCATAACTTGACATTTAATACGCTTCTCCTTGATCCCTCCTTATTATCCAACATTTTCTCTTGTCCAATGTTCTGTCAGCCTGTTTATGTTGGAAAAGTGAGACTCTGCTGCATTTAGGAGCTCCTTCCAATGCTATTTCTTACATTTAGACCTCTTCATTTGGGTTCTAATCACTGGTGCAGCAGGCAAAAAATTAGTTCTGACATGTCTGTATTTTTTGTTTAAATTCATCTGCCCAAGCAGTTGTTAAATCAAGTAATCAAACTTTGGTTGCATCCACACTGTAGAATGAATGCAGTTTGATACTACTTGAACTGCCCTGACTCAATGCTGTGGAATCTTTGCTTTTGTAGTTTGGTCAGGTGAAGGGAACTATGAGATAAGAACTTACACAGGTACTTTGGCAAAGAAGGTTAAAGACCTTCTAAAACTACAACTCATTCTATACCTATGAGCCATGGCAGTTCAAGTGGCATCAAACTGCATTTGTTTTAGAGTGCAGATGTGTCTTATATGGATCCTTACAAAATAGTTACTAAATATTGGAGGTCTCTCATTCATAAGGTCACCATAATGAAAGTTGACTTGATAGCGATTAATGACAACAAACTAAATAATTTTTGTGTTGCTGTGAGTTTTCCAAGCTGCATGGCCATGTCACAGAAGCATTCTCTCCTGACATTTCACCCACATCTATGACAGGCAGGCATGTAGCCGGGGGGGGGGGCTTTGGGGGCTTCACCCCCCCCCCGAAATTCTCATGGTGGTCTGCGAAAAGGCCTTACTGGTACATTATTTAAACTGTTATGTTTATTCATATCATGATCTGATCACCATACTCAATATATCCCATATGCATGGGGGTATTGGGGTAACGATACAAAAGGTTTGCTAGGCTAGACCCTCTTTCACTCAGACTCACCCCCCCCCCCCGAATCAAACTCAGCCCCCTTGAACGAAAATCTTGGGTACGGGCCTGATGACAGGCATCCTCAAGGGTTGGGAGGTCTGTTGGAAACTAGGTACATGAAGTTTATATATCTGTGGAATGGCCTCACTAAAGCTCACATGCCTCATTTCCAACAATCCTCACAACTTCTGAAGATGTTTGCCATAGTTATGGGCAAAACGTCAGGAGAGAATGCTTCTGGAGCATGGCCAGACAGCCTGGAAAACTTACAGCAACTCAGTGATCCTGTCCATGAAGGCCTTCAACAACACATTATTTTTTTCTGCAACAATGTGAATTAAAAGCCTTACCTCATTGGAATGATCCGGCTTCAGCAACAATGAGTCCTGGAAGGTGGAAACACACTTTTCGGAGCACCTTGCAAGAAATAATGCCAGACGATATGCAGCTGCTATCATAGCTGTACAGCCAGGTTCTCTTAACAGGAAGTTTGAAAAAGGCCACGTGAATTTGCCCGGTAGTTTAACCGCAGCAACCTTGTTTACATACAGGAGGCTCTATGTGAGTAAGGACACTGCTGAGGTGGTTAGTGTCAGGCGGAAGCAAGCAACCAACGTCTAGCCCAGATATATGCACACAAGCACCATAGTGCCTTTTTTGGCAGGGGCAATTCCAGTGAATCCCATCAGCCGAATCCCTAAGCTGATGTTAAAATGTCCCGGTTTCTCCATCCTTCTTCCACTGTCCACCTTTGTCTCCAGTTTATTTCAATTGCTGTAAACTGAGTTCAAAGTGCAGAAGTACCGTATATACTCGAGTATAAGCCCATCTGAATATAAGCTGAGGCACCAAATTTTACTGAAAAAACAACTGGAAAACATATGCCGCAGGGTTCTGTCCTGGGCCCGGTCCTGTTCAACATCTTTATTAATGACTTAGATGAAGGGCTAGAAGGCAGGATCATCAAGTTTGCAGACGACACCAAATTGGGAGGGAGAACCAGTACTCCAGAGGACAGGAGCAGAATTCAAAACGATCTTGACAGATTAGAGAGATGGGCCAAAACTAACAAAATGAAGTTCAACAGTGACAAATGCAAGATACTCCACTTTGGCAGAAAAAATGAAATGCAAAGATACAGAATGGGTGACGCCTGGCTCGAGAACAGTACGTGTGAAAAAGATCTTGGAGTCCTCGTGGACAACAAGTTAAACATGAGCTAACAATGTGATGTGGCGACAAAAAAAGCCAATGGGATTTTGGCCTGCATCAATAGGAGCATAGTGTCTAGATCTAGGGAAGTCATGCTACCCCTCTATTCTGCTTTGGTTAGACCACACCTGGAATATTGTGTCCAATTCTGGGCACCACAATTCAAGAGAGATATTGACAAGCTGGAATGTGTCCAGAGGAGGGCGACTAAAACGATCAAGGGTCTGGAGAACAAGCCCTATGAGGAGCGGCTTAAGGAAGCTGGGCATGTTTAGCCTGAAGAAGAGAAGGCTGAGAGGAGATATGATAGCCATGTATAAATATGTGAGAGGAAGCCACAGGGAGGAGGGAGCAGCTTGTTTTCTGCTTCCTTGGAGACTAGGACGCTGAACAATGGCTTCAAACTACAAGAGAGGAGATTCCATCTGAACATTAGGAAGAACTTCCTGACTGTGAGAGCCGTTCAGCAGTGGAACTCTCTGCCCCGGAGTGTGGTGGAGGCTCCTTCTTTGGAAGCTTTTAAGCAAGAGGCTGGATGGCCATTTGTCAGGGGTGATTTGAATGCAATATTCCTGCTTCTTGGCAGAATGGGGTTGGACTGGATGGCCCATGAGGTCTCTTCCAACTCTTTGATTCTATGATTCTATGATTCTATGATATTGACTCGAGTATAAGCCAAGGGTGGGAAATACAGAAGCTACTTGTAAATTTCAAAATAAAAATAGATACAATACAATTACATTAATTGAGGCATCAGTAGGTTAAATGTTTTGAATATTTACATAAAAATATAATTTAAGATAAGACTGTGGAACTCTGATTAAACCATTATTCTAGCCTTCTTCAATGTAAATGTGCTTGCATATCCTTCCAATAAAAATAGAGTAAAATAATAAATGTAATAATACTGCTACTACTAATAATAGAGTAAAATAATGGAAATGTAATAATAACAGTAATAATATAGTAAAATAATAACTGTAGTAATAAAAACAATAATAAAGTAGAATGATCATAACAACAACAATAATAATAACAATATATTTATTATGTATTTCTAACAGGCTAAAATAATAAATAACCTTGACTCGAATATAAGCCGAGGGGGACTTTTTCAGCCTAAAAAAAGGGCTGAAAAACTAGGCTTATACTCGAGTATATACAGTCATTTGTACTCAGTTAGAAGAGGATGGGAATGAATTTTGCCCTTCTTTGTACACTCAGGCAAGAGCAAACTGCTGCAGCCTCTTTAAGCTCTTAATGTTTGCCACCTTGACCACAGATGCAGGCGAAACGTCAGGAAATACGCTTCTGGAACATGGCCATACAGCCCAGAAAACACACAACAACCCACTGATTCCAGCCATGAAAGCCTTCAACAAGACATTTCTCAGATTCTTTTCCAAATTTTGAGACAAGACTCTGGAGATTGGGATTCAAATCCTTGTTTGGCCATGGAAACCCACAGAATGATCTTGGTCAAGTCGCACTCTCTCGGCCTCAAAAGACAAATCTTGACAAGGAAACCATAAGATACAGTTGATTTAGGATTGCCATAGCTCACAAAAAAGTTTTGAGCCAGTGCTGTTTGCCACTGTATGCATTCCCTTAATGAAACTTTGCTTACATGACTCATCTTCTTTCCATCTTGTGGTCTGTTTAGCCAGAGTGGTGTTTTGTTCTCTGGCTTTCATGTCAGACATTTCATGCTCAGCTTGCAGGTGGAGAAGAGGATGTGGCGGAGGGGGACCATGTTAGCCGTTTCTCCCACCGGGGTGAGATTGCCATCTCTGCAACCGAGTCACACGCTCAGCCCTGTGCTCTCAACTCTCATCTCACATCTTGCTCAGGTTTTCCAACCCAACGCCAAGGTCTTATAGCTGCTAGAATCGAAGGTGGTCGCCAGACCCCTTTTTTGGACTGTGATTTCCAGAATTCCTGCTAGTTGACCTGCTAGTTGAGAATTCTGGAAGTGGTGGCCAAGTAAAGTATTTTTTCCCATGTTTTTCGGGCTATATGGCCATGTTCTAGAGGCATTCTCTCCTGACGTTTCGCCTGCATCTATGGCAAGCATCCCCAGAGGTAGTGAGGTCTATTGGAACTAGGAAAAAGGATTTATATGCCTGTGGAATGGCCAGGGTGAGACAAGGGACTCTTGTCTGCTGGAGCTAGGTGTGAATGTTTCAACTGACCACCTTGATTAGCATACAATGGGCTGACTGTGCCTGGAGCAAACTTTTGTTAAGAGGTAATTAACAAATCTTGTCTGTTGGAGCTAGGTGTGAATGTTTCCACTGAACACCTTGATTAGCTGGCTATCTGTATTTTAAAAAACCCTAAAATTACAACAGCTAAACAACAGAGAGGAAACAATCAGGGACATCTAATCACCTCTCAACAAAAGATTGGCCCAGGCACTAACAAGCCACACCAAACAACTGAAGGCCATCAAATGCTAATCAAGGTGGTCAGTGGAAACATTCACACCTAGCTCCAACAGACGAGAGTCCTTTGTCCCACCCTGGTCATTCCACAGATATATAAACCCACTTTCCTAGTTCCAACAGATCTCACTACCTCTGAGGATGCTTGCCATAGATGCAGGCGAAACGTCAGGAGAGAATGCCTCTAGAATATGGCCATATAGCCCGAAAAAACCTACAACAACCCGACTTTGATGATGGCAATGAGATGAAGCTGGTTTTAAATATTGTTGATTTTTAATACTGTTTTGTCATGCATTCTCATTTTAATTTTTGTATATGTGTTGTTTTGTATTTTGAGTTGATATTGTCTTATGCTTGAAAGGCATCAGATTGTTGCCGATTGCGAGGCGCTCTGAGGGGGAATATGAGAGAAGCCTCCCCGCAAGATAGCAACACATCCAGGCATCCCCCGGGCAACGTCTCTGTAGATGGCTGATTCTCTCACACCAGAAGTGATGTTTTGCTACTGTGCTGCTGAATACGCTTGCCCAGTGTGAAATACATCTCACCACATTAAAGCAGTGGGTGGGGCTCTTAACGAGACATGCCGCATTATCACAGGATGTCTACACCCTAAACTGCCGGAGAAATTATACTGTTTATTATTTATTTATTTACAATATTTATAGCCTGCCTTTCTCAGCCATATGGCAACTCAAGGCGGGTTACAGATTGGCACAATTTGATGTCAAGCATTTATAAAAGTGCCATTAAAAACAATCAACATTACAATATAAAACATAAATAAAAACCGTTAAAGCATATAATCGTCGGTGTCATCTTGTTAAAAACGTTATCCAGTCTGGCCATTCCATGTTCATCATTCATAGTTCCATGCTATTTATTCCGCTGCATTCTCAAAAGCTTGCTCAAAGATCCAGGTCCTTACTTTTTTTTTCAGAAAGTCAGGAGGGAGGGGCCGATCTAATATTTAGCCAGTATAGCACCACCTGATATAATCTGGGAAGTAGCAGCCTGTAATGAAAGGATCAAGGCATTGGCATCTCCAGCCCATTCTCTGTCCGGATATCAGCCAGCAAGCTAATGCTTTAAATCAAGAAATAGCTTCCTAAGCTCTACAGAGATATTTGCAGGAAACTCTCAGCAAGCGAGAGTCCAAAAGAGGCAGGCTAATACCTGGAATCTCAATCTGTGGCTGATTCCAGATGAGAAACTCCCTCCTGAGCAGGCAGAAGGCTGGGCAACTTGGAAGGCGCTGAAGAGGATGCACTCTGGCAACACGAGAGTGCAAAGAGAGCAGTACATGTGAAAAAGATCTTGGAGTCCTCGTGGACAACAAGTTAAACATGAGCCAACAATGGCATGTGGCAGCAAAAAAAGCCAATGGGATTTTGGCCTGCATCAATAGGAGCATAGTGTCTAGAACTAGGGAAGTCATGCTACCCCTCTATTACGCCTTGGTTAGACCACACCTGGAATACTGTGTCCAATTCTGGGCACCACAATTGAAGGGAGATATTGACAAGCTGGAATGTGTCCAGAGGAGGGCGACTAAAATGATCAAGCGTCTGGAGACCAATTCCTATGAGGAGCGGCTTAAAGAGCTGGGCATGTTTAGCCTGAAGAAGACAAGGCTGAGAGGAAATGTGATAGCCATGTATAAATATGCAAGAGGACGTCATAGGGAGGAGGGAGCAAACTTGTTTTCTGCTGCCCTGGAGACTAGGACGCAATGGAACAATGGCTTCAAACTACAAGAAAGGAGATTCCATCTGAACATTAGGAGGAACTTCCTGACTGTGAGAGCCATTCAG